CTGAGATCTATACTCACACATACAAAACCCAACAACACTGAAGAAAAAACAAAAAATTGTATTTATGAAATACCTTGTTCTTGTGGTAAAAGTTACATTGGTGAAACCTCGAGACCATTGAAAGTGCGTGAGAATGAACATCGAGATTACATAAAAAATAGACAATTGACAGGATTTAAATTGTCAGAACACATTTAAAATCAGATGGTGAACATCGAGTGGAATTGAATTGGACAAGGATGATTACCAATGAGCCTCACTCTAAGAGACGTAAGCTAAAAAAATCAGCTTATATTCTCATATCTGGAGAGAATTGTATTTCGAATAGCTCCTTAGAAATAGACCGTACTTGGGCTACCCATCTTGAAGAAAAATTTGGATAGTGGCGAAATGACAACAGACTGATATCGGAGAGCACCTTGTATTACATCGAATGTTTCAGTTGTCAATCAACAACAATGACATAATTTCATAACATAACAAATAAATTATCAAAAAGGAATAACTGCCAATATATTAGAATTTTTTGTCCATTTCTGGCAGGCAGATTTTGGTCTCAGAAACGTTAAGATGAATATTACATTATTTTTTTAACAATTGTTTTTGATAGGCAAAATTGTTAAATACAACAAGTTACTACTGATAAATAGAAGACTTTTCTTTGTGAAAATACTTTGATTTTACGCAGTATCTTATCGGGGTAAACTTTCCCTTCTTTCTACACTTGTATAAAGTTCTCCAATATAATTTTTATATTTTTCAGATTGTGGAAGGTAACAAATACCCAAAAAAGGTTGATAACAAATATAAAGTTATCAAATGCAATATAACATAGTCATTGAGTCATGTTTATCAAGTAATGAGTCTCAGTCCAAAGAAGCAAATAAATTATTGAAAAGTAATCAGCACAACTAAAGTGATGGCCTGGACTTCATATCTGAAGTTATTGTCAGGACTATTCAAACACAATGTGTGTCTTCAGGAATCATGACAGGTTATTTATTTTGGAATTTCTACAGTAACAACTAACTAATTATTCTACATGTAAATCAGTTACATTTAGAAATTGAAAGGTTTTTATATTTACCATAATCCCAAGAAATGTGTTCGTTATTGAAACTAACAAGATTCAAAGTAGAAATAATGGTAAAAAATTAGTAATCCTGATTTTCTATTGCGAATAAATGCTATTAACATTCGAACGTGATTTTTAATTCTAATAACTTTTTCCAGTAACGATTTTTTTGCATATCTTTAAATTATGAAGAATAACTTTTCCCCAAAATTGATAATCAAGTTTTCCATACGGCTCTAACTTACTGAGAAATACTGTATGTGTCATGCAACAAATAAAAATATAAGATCAGTTTTTTGCACACTTACCTTAGTTAATCTTTTATGGGCTCTTGAAGTGTTTTGAATTTGAAAATTGAATTGTTAGGTTAGGTTTGCCACATTATTAGGCACTTTATTGTTTTCAAAATATCTATTACATTATTATCTCAATAATTATAGGACTAGTCTTTGCCATTAAATCATAATTTTTTTTCCAAAGAATTAGCCAGTGGTATTTTTCAATCCTATTTAACAACTCGGAATTTTTGAAGAATGATATTTCGAGAACAAATTAGCTGAAAAATGAAAAATATTTATACTCACATTTACAGTTTTTAGGTATATAACTGAATAAACTTGGAGTTTTGAGAAAAAAGACGCACATATTTCTGTTTAATGTTTTTATTACACCAACAATCATATCATATATTCATAAGTTTTAAATAACAAAACTTATCCTTAATAATAAAATTTAAACAAAAAATAAATTCCTAAAAATAAATGGAAGCATTTTGTATGGATTGTAGCAGCTGAAATAAAAAAAATCCCTCAAGCAAAATAAAATATTTTATTTACAAAAAAATGAAAAGTACCCATATAACCAATTGCATATAAAAACGAAAAAATTTACACTCATTTTTTCATAACCAGAAATCTGTGATGCTTTTCAGTTTTCTCAAGCTGTGAAGTATGACTTATTTTCACCCAGTTACTGAATTAATCGTACGAAAGCTGAAATTTAGGCTTTTGTGACCATCTTTTGAAACCGTGGTTTTGGGTTTTTAGGCCGTCGACTGTTGAAATTTCTCCCTGATGTTTTGCCGGCGGTGTGGCTTCCAAGTATACCAGTGTACCTCTAACTTGGAGGTGATAACTTCTGAAGATAATAGCCACTCTTATCGGCGAAACGGCCGAAAAAAATTCCAACAGACGACGGCCTAAAAATCCGAAACCACATCAGTAAGAAAGACTCCCATTTGAATGAAAAAAAAGCCCAGTTTCAAAATTATTTCATAGTATGGTTCTCCTATATATTACAAATACATCCATACTGAAGATATGCTTGTGTTATAATTAATAAAAACAGTTGAGAAAACAAAAACAGTTGATCCTGCATACGAAAAAACAAGATATAAGCATATGATCTAAAGCTAAGTGTCTCAAATGTTCTCCTTATATTCTAAATACCATACAATATAAGTACATCTGTGGAATTTTTGTCTGAGTATTGAGGTAATACAGTAATTTTCTTGTAATAAACAGTATGTGTTGTACTGGTTAAAGGCATCTTGTTGCTTAAGGTGGTTAACAACCTAAACAACGCTTTGCAACACATATTATCATATTTTCTCCCAGTTTGCAAAACGGTCGTCTATTATGTATTCACCTTCATCAAAGGGAGCGGAACATCAACCAAATTTAAATCGTGGGGCAGTGTGCAAGACATATTTCTAACCATTTCTTTTACCTAACCAATCTAACCTCAAATTTCCATCCGTCGGCGTCGTTTTCCAATAACTCAACTCAAGTTATGCTCAGTTGTTTCTAAGACCAAAGAATTGATAGTGATGTATATTAAAATAAGTTCCCTGAGGATCAATTCTAGGCCCTGTTTAACTCGACACTGTAAATGCTAGTTTATACATAATATGGAAGTACAAAATATATGGTAATCTGGGAAAATTTGGCAATACTACTGGCAGTAGAAGACAGGTTGGTTTATTAGATTGATTGCCTTCGAATATTTTGGATTTTGTTCACATATGCAGACATGAATGTTTATATTTTATACTCTTTCAAGGGTTTTTTACATGATTATATGGTGTTCTGATTAAAAAATATATTTAGCTCTATACAAAGCTTTGCCTTTTTAGGGAAGATATCAACTGTGACAAAATTTGAGGGTAAAGAGGTGATGAAAAATTGAAACTTTTATATTTTAACACCACATACACTATATTCTAGTTCACGCCAATTGTCGATAGGTAACAAAATCTACTGATGAATATCCGGACCAAATATCGAGCTTGTTTAAAAAGATAAAATTTCAATATTTCTCGTAAATTACCCAAATGATTTTGTTGGCATGAATATAGATATGCAATTTTGTTTTTCTAACAAATAATCTTGATTAAAACTTACACCTATTTACTACATGTATATAACAAAAATATTTACAATGGCGACAAACTACCCTACCTAGTTACCTTTCACTTGATTGAAAGTGTTTAAAGTCAGATGGAAAACTTAACTATTGTATTTCAACCAAGAATTCAACTATATTCTTTCTATATCCCAGTACAGGGTCATGCGAAATAACTAAGTAGGTATCTATCTCCATCAACAACCTGACGCTTTAGGTCAATGATCATTCAAATTCAAAATGGCACGTTTAAAAAAATATTTTCGAATCTTTTAGAAAGAATTTTTTTCTCAATGAAATGTCTTTGGTTCGACCGTATCACAAAAACTAAACAAATAAATAATTTTAACCTAATCAGACAATTTTTTTTTTGAAAAGTCACAGCACTAAATATACAGTCAAAATGTATGCTAACGGTTGCCGAATGTAACCGTGCCTTTCAGATCAAACTAAATTATTTAAAAAAGTTTTCATCCCACTCGGTTTCAACACAGAGCCAACATTAAACCTAAACATCACAGAAACGTAAATTTGGTCAACAAATAACAAAAAATAAATTCTATAAAACCAAAATAGAATTTAACAAAAAAAATAAACAAAATCACAAATTGAATGTCTCGTTTTTGAAAAAATATTTTTCAGAACATTCAAAATAGGTTCCACTTCGAAACCCAGCGGGACGAAAAATAGCATACAAACTAACCAATCGATTTCCAAATACATAATAATAGAACAAATGCATAAAGATTGGCACATCATTATTTACAAAATTGAACCCTGGAGAGATATGTAAGTATGAAAAACCATTCACAGCAACAGTAACACCTTCCTGGCTGTTTTCAACCTAGCCAAAGTTTAAATAACATAAATACATAGAGTAACATCTAAGATTTCCTTTCATAGGTTTACGAAACCTACAAACTTTTCAATAAAATCACATGAGCAAATCTAGTCGGATATTTATCACATTCCATTTTTGTTTGGAGGAAATTTCAACCATTTCTGAACAATTCTAACACGTCATACAAAATCCAGTACACCTAAAATTCAATTCAGTAGACATTTCGAGTGTAATTGCTATAAAAATTAATTACATGCATATTAGTAAAAGAGTGTAAACTTTTACCGCCAGATATAACTATATCAGATGTGTTTATTGACCTTGATATGGAGGTTTGTATGACTGGCGTTTCGTCTACGATTGCGGTAGGCATGGAAGGTTAGAAGGCAGTTGCTTGGATTACCCTCACAACAGAAACATTCATGGTTTGAGTCTACGATGTTATTCCACCGGTGGTGGGTTTGATTTTCGTTTCTTTCGGTTAAATCAAATGATCTCTTTTTGAGAGTATAATTTAGTGCACGTAGCCAGTTTTTATTTATGTTAATTTCTACTACCAATGAAAATTGCATTGGCAAACGCATTTTACTGATCAATCACCGTAACTTCTTAATTTTTTTCCTGTTCAGTTTGTAAAAGATTTTTAGTTTACTTTCCAGCCATATGACATTTTCATAAAGACCAATTTCATCACAAATATCTTTGATAACATCATCGAATAAGCTTAATGAAATATGTAATAATAGGTAGGTAGTAACTTCGTGGATAAAAAAACATGATCCGCTGTAAAAAATATTTGACTGGATTGAGTGTACTTTGTTGCCAAATGATAAAAAAAAAATACAGGCTGTTCTACTTGAAGCCAGTATTTGATATACTTTATTGAGAGATTTTCTGTAAACACTTTACATAACCGCAACACGTGTTTTACTATACAATGGCTTCTTCAGACATGTGTTTAATACTGATCAATTGTACATTGAAACCGTGTTGCCGTTTTCTAACCTCTTTGATGAAAATCTCAAATAGCAAATAGTTTATTATGATGGATTTTTATCGAGTATCTAGTACAGGATACTTCTTGAAATGTATTCATATAATTCATCAGTCATGTCAAAACCTTTAGGCTATTACGTTTCTTTATGAACTTTTGAATGAATAGAATATTCAGATTGTTTATAGCCAACAGTCACGAAAATAATTCATATTTTTAAACTTCATACCAAGAAGTAATTTACTTATTAGATATGTGTAGTTTAGTGAACGGAATAAATTCGCATTGTGACATTCACCATGACTTGCTAGAAAGTTTAATTGAACGTTTTAGAAGGAACACGGTATTTCTCTCAAATTATTAAGTAATGTAAGCATAGTATTTTTATATGCTACAGAATGCAAGTTTTTTTCAGTTTAATTATTTATCGATTGACTTTAGCATAAGTGATTCAGTATTTAACATCTTTTAGAAAACAATTCTGTATGTCCTGTGATTCGGTGTGATCCTGTTGGAAATGAAGACATTTTCATTACTATCATTATTAGGATCACATTTACACACTTTTACTGTTCAGACAGTATAAACACTTCATCTATGAGAACGACAGAAAACTCATATCATGCTTGTCCAAGATAAACAAGGGTTCCCATGATGATTTGTTGCAAAGCCAAGTTTCGACATTGACAGCTGCATGAGTCACTTTCTGTCTTCATCAATTATATAAAACCGTAACCAGAGACTAAAAACAAAGCATTTGTGATTCGAAACCGGTAGGTTCTGTTTTGACTTGCCATAGATCTCATCAGTAGTGCTAGACTGAACTAGGAATGTAATGTTGGACTTAACAATCCTAAAAAATAATTCTGAGTATTCTTTATTGCTTCATCCCTGGGCTCTTCTTTCATTTATATTTTAGTACTGACATCAAGGAATCTACACAGTGCTGGAAGGCCTAACAACTATTTATATTCAATGTTATGTGATTAATATTACCATTACTTACAACAAAAAAAACGCCTGGTATAACATTGGCGATATTTACCATTTTGACAGGCTTATCGACGAATGATCTTTGATTCGACGTTCACTACTACTTCATTCCAAAAATTTGTTCAATTCACTTGGAATGAAACGTAACACCCGGAATACGAATCGAAAAAGCATAAAAACATTGGCAATAGTCATTCTGAAGATGGAATCAGTGAAAAACGCAGCTTTTATCTGTTCATAAGTGTCAGCAAATCAACGCAGTTAGTAAACCGTCAACTCATGAAAATAATGATTCAAAATTTCTGTAACTGCTGAAAAAAAATCATGTATTATTTTTGAAACGAACAAGGGTGACTTTTCAATATCTGAAGTGTCTTAGAGTAGGTCATTGATAAATGCTTCTTTCAGATACAAATCAGAGGAATGATCTGAAATAACTACATTTTATGGATTTTGAATCAAATAGAAGTCACTTTCTCTGACTTCATGATTTGAAACTATTTATGAAAAGTAATATCCGCTCTTTTGGAAAAAAAACGAGGCAACTCAGTCAGTTTTAAATAAAGACAGTCAGCAATAGACCAATGAAACGGATGGTTCAGATATTGATTTATACTGTAAAATTGTATGACATGAACACAGAAATTTTTCATAATTTGAATTGGATCAAATTCAAAATAAGTGCAGGAGTGCACTTATTAATTTATAAATGTTTGCCGCTTGTGAACCAGGATCTGTCCCCAAAACAATATGATTCTATATTTTTCCAAGAGAAAAGTGATGTGGGGATACTTAAATTCGAGTCCATTCATACTGATTTAGTTTTTTTCAGATTGTAGATCATAAACCATGCAAAATCCCATAAATTCATTAATTTCTCCACAAATGTATCGTTTAAATGTTATTACTATGATGACTTGACCGATTTTGTTGGTACATTTTGAACTGAAGGCTTCGTAAAGTAATATTTACAAACTAGAGTATTACACCTTTTACTTGGATAGCAGATTTTTCAATTGCATAGAAAAACTGTCATTTTTAGTTCAATATGATTTTCGATTGTAAATCAGAATCGGTTGCTAAAATACTAGAATTTTATATTTTTCTTACAGAAAAGTGAAGTGGGGGTTACCTAGAATGTGTGTTAATTTCACATTTGTTTCATTCAGATTGTAGGATAACATAAAATAAGCATAATCCCAAAAATGCTACTTTTTAGATTCATCTCCAAAATTACTGCAAACAAAGAATATGTATGATACAAAATATTTCATTGTGATAGATGGAAGACAAATAGCTGAATAGAAAATACTCATCCACAAAAAGCTGGATAAAAGGGGACGTTTAAAATATTTTTAAAGCTCCTCTTTCAAATTTGTTGAAAGTCTTTGCAATTTCTGCTACACTAGATAATATATTTTTGACAAATGTCAATCTAGAAAATAGATATTCTTGGCCTGTGTAGTTCAAGTTTTGCATTAGACACAAGTGAAGAGTACAGTGAAACGTACATCAGCTGGAAGGACAATTTCTGAATCTACTATGAGAAATATTCTGTCCACATTCTTATAATATGTATAGAGTTACTTCTATTGAAATTGATTGCTTCCTTCGTCACCCTTGGCTATATTCGATTCCTTATTCTCTTTTAAATGACGGGACAGATATTTTTGTGGCTATACATATTTTTAGACCAGATTATCTTTGAACAAAAAAATATCCCATTTCCAATACCCCTCGATTTTTAGCAGCCACATCACAGAAATATTTTTCAGCATTCCAATACCTGAAAATTCTACATATGATTTTAATTATGTACCTCAGTATGTACCATTATAAGTAGTGGTAAATAGTTTAAATAAAGTGTGTCTGGAGAGACCAAACTCTTTCCTCTCAATTTCCAAACTGAAAACATTGAAGAGATAGATATCTGTGGCATGGTATTAATTGGATTTGTTGCTGTTTTTCAGTTACGTGTCAATTGATTGTATTACAATTCTTATTAGTTCAACAGTGAAATTGAGTTTGTATTGTTTGCACAGTACAAGGAATATAGTACAAAGAATACCTAGTTAGGAAACTATTATAGTTTCCTAACTAGGTGTGCGTATAGATATTTGAATAAAAAGTTATAATCTGCATCCGATTTTTCGTTAATTAGCTGTCGCTTCCTTACCACTCTCAAAAGCCGAAACTTGTGCGAGCTAATGATTAACGAGGTCTCTTATCTTGTAAACTGCGATTTCTAGCGTCATGGATGATCGAAAAAATTTTAAACTTAAAGATTGACATTCCTCCGCTTGACTTGATAAAGACCTTTGCTAAGAGGTCAGATCAGCTCTGAAATGGTTGGTAGAAATAATTCTAAATTCTATTGAAACCTAGGAAAAAACCGAAAACCTATGAAAGAATAACGAAAGAGAAAAACAAAATTATCTAATTTGAAATAATTGGAATTTGTGAAAAAGGGTCTCAATTATTAAATCTACGAAAGTACAAAAACTGCTTTTTGTATTCGAAAGTGAAATTATTATCTTCTTTTGTCTTTTATCAATTACTAACATCCATTTTGCACCTACCATTTTGAAATACATTACTTTAGAGAAAAAATAAATTAAGAAGGAATGGACATTCGAGTTGCATACTCACTCCTCCGTATCTTTGCCTCAACCTAAGAGAGGAAGGAAGCAGAAGCATTTCAATCCCTAAATGTAGAGCTCGTTAGTTTCACGCATATACACATTCATAACAATAGAAAGTCACGTTTAAAAGATCAATATTTTCTACGCCTGTTTGCTCTTTGATGTCATAATTCGAAACAGATTTTGAAATTGATAAATACTGCTGACTAAAATTGAGGTTTTGATTCCAAAATAGCATTTAAAAATCTGTTTGTAGTAACAAAAAAATATTCCATTAATTGAAGCTTGAACTGAACTGAAGAACTGCTACATAATGCAGGGATTGGTTTAAAATGATTACAGCGAGAGAACATCTGTACAAAACAGGGCTGTATAAAAGATCTTAGTTGCAGGCAAGACAACATAAAGTCAGATGTTAATGTGCAGTATTGGATCACGGTATGGACAACTCAAATTATAACCTGAAGAATGTGACAAATATCCAATGATTGTGGGAATGGGCATGGGAAGACAGGAGAAAAAACGCAATGAGCACGAGGCTGTAGTCATGCGTGACTGCATGCATCTTCTTCTTTTCATTTTTGTGGAGATCTTTCTTCGGGGGGTTCGGAATTTTGCCATGAGATTGTTAGTGAATACCTAGTTAATTCAGTCATAAACCATGCACTGTGCAAACGCCTAAATGTAATTATTTCTTTTTTTCATGTTCTTAAAATGAAAAAACTGTTGTTCTTTTTGTCTGTTTTCATCTAAAATCTCTTTCATACAGAACTGTCAGTCACGTACCAATATTCATTTGGGCAATAAGAAAATACCATATCCTCATTTTAAGGAAGTAAAAGTTTTTCACTGGTTAAATAAATTATAGCGTACAACAAAGGTCTGTGAAAGAGACTTGAGAGATAGTTGGTCTGTCTCCGAAATTCAGTTCATTTGACCGATAAGAAACTGTCACTCTTCTATGAATAAGCCAGGTAAAATTAATTATTGGTCAAACGACAGACAGACATCTCCCTGAACGTCACCAAAGGGTACTAAATTCATGCTCAACGCAATAATTTTTCCTAGCAAGTAGAAATAGAATGTGATAAATACCCGAAGGGGTATCGAGGGCATTCTTGGCCGCTCGCAAGGGGAATAAAATCTGAACTGAATCACAGTAACACTGGAAATGTCTCGCATTCAATGCAATGGGCAGATCACGATAAACACACCGGCATTGATGATGCATCGGAGGGTGATATGATGATGAAGATATGTCATTGGAGAGGGACTATATGCGTGGGGATATATCTGGCAGCCGTAGTGAATACAGGTTTATATAAAAACTACGTTGGGGCTCTGTGGGGATTTGTACTTTCGGTTCGAGTAGCTTTTAGGCCATCATCGCCAGGGCTCACTGGAGGCGCGGAGGCGGCTGCTGGTTCGGGGAGGTAGCAGAGGCGCGCAGGACGCTCTTGATGGCCGTCGTCTTGAGCAGTCGCTTGAGCATACCGGAGGAGCCGCGGTGCTGAAGACTCTTGTGGGTGGTGAGCGAGTTCTTGGTGCGGTACCGTCTGTGACAGAACTCGCATACATAGAGCGTGTCCGACTGTTCGTGCTTGTCTTGGAAGTGCCTCTTGAGTGAGTAGTAGCAGCTGAAGGTGCGCCTACAGTAGGGACACTCTTGGGGCTCGTTGATGCCTCCGGATGTGGGAGGGGGCATCCGCACCGGCCCTGCAACAGCACACGGCTGTGGTGGAGGTGGCGTAGTCGGTGGGGACAACAACTGGGGCGAACATGCAGGCTGATGGCGGTGGCAAGCGGCACAATTCATAACTACACAGAGAGCTGCGGTAGCGGCAAGCGGGGTAAGACGGGGGCAATGGGTGGTACCTGGAAGTGTGGTCGCAGGCAGCAGCGGCTGGGGCGGGTGCTCTGGCTAAAAGAACTTAATGTCGATATCCCCGGGGCGCGACTTGTGGTACGTGTAGATGTGCGTCATCAGAGAGTTCCTCGAGCAGTACACGCGTTCGCAGATAACGCACCGGTATTCTTCTTGTCGTTCTGCGTGCTTGTCGGCGATGTGTCGTTTGAGGGAGGCCTTTGAGCACAGCACCTTACCGCACAGCTGGCACGTGAACACCTTCTTGGGCGACGCCCCTGCAACAGCAAAACCAAGCTCGCACTGGTCTAGTTCGCGAGTGTTGCCACCAGCAGACACGTTCTCAAACATTTGACTATTTTGACAATCGAATGCCGCGCCATCTTACTGACCGCACACTCGCGATCTGCCGCGCGAACTCAGTATTACTGCTCGCAGTTACAACAACACACAAACACCGTCTCGTTATCCGTAAACAGAAATTCGAAACCGACGAAAGGAGCCTCCGTATGTTTCAGAGCAGATTCATACCAAACACGGTCATCATATGTAACCATCGACATAATATTACAAAACGAATTGAACTTTTTGATAGCGTAATTGTTTCAAAACTGAAAGCAAGTATTTTTGATGGATATTTTTTTTGTGAAAGAGTTATTGTTTCTTGATGGTTTTTGGATTTTCAACTTTCCAATATTTGAAAAAGCAATCAATCTAGATTGTGATTGTGAGAGGATTATATTGTGATATAATCCTCTCAAGTGTAATTAAAAGCAAACTAAAAAATTTTCTTCAACAAGTTCCTGTCCAATTAGTATTGACAATATTTATCTCGACAACTTTAATCCACTCATAGACAGTTTAGAAAGTATAGCTACACTTCTTCAAAGTCATAATTGAGTGTGATAAAAATGATATCAATCCTCTCGATATCGACGCTATTGATATAAAAGGAGTCAGTGACTTGTTATATTCAAACATTTTGCCTTGACAGACGTCAAAAGAACCTACAAGAATGATAGGTTTTGGGAACGGTGGCTTTCTGTAGAGTCAACCATCATACAAATAAATCTAAGTATATACATTTTATTCTTCCCTTCATATTTATTTTTTTTGCAGACAAATTTAAAAATAAGTCTGAATACTCTTTGGAGGAGGAATAAAAGTATGAGAAAATCAATATTTCCAAAAGAATTGTGAATGTTCCAAAAATGTTGAATATGACTAACTAGAGGTTTATCTTAACTTTTTGGGGTACACTTTTTAATTTGCCTTTTATTACACTGCAGATTTTTTGTTGAATTGTGAAAAAGCCAGAGAACATCGAGAAACTTAAAATTAGTGTTATGTATTTTCTTCCAATTTGTATCGGAAAAAACTGTCAATTTTTGTTAAGTGTTTATATTGAAGTTATTTAGTTTTTTCGAAGTATCTCACTTTTTTCTATGATGATGGAGAAGTTGATAGCTAAAAAGAAAATGGAATTTTGAAAAAACATTTTCATCCTCTCCGTTTCAATGTAAAGGATAGAAAATCTATGTTCCTTTCAGGAAAAAAACAAAATGAGGTTCTATTTGAAGCAACTATATATTTATATAGTTGCTTCAGATATTTTTATATACAGAATATTTGATTCTATTTCATTATGTAGGAACTTTTCAAAGAAAAAAATAATTCAGCGAGCTTGTTTTAGGGAAATATGTTGATCCCTAGAGATGTGTCAGTTGCAAACTGGAACAAAAAGTCTATCTGAAACAACTGTTTTCCCTATTACAAGAAAAACGTTTGAATACCATACAAAATAAACCCAAGCCTCTTGATATAAAAAAATGAATCAGCTTGAGTATTGAAAAAAATTTTAAATTATACGAACACCTCATCAGAAGTTGTGGACGGTATTAGCGACAATTTGTAACAGTGTAATAGATGAGAGCACCCAGGTTTAACGACAAAGACTAGATTTTTCAACGGATCTTGAAAATGGCATTATTCAACTGTTGGATTGTGTGGTGTATTTAAATGAATTGTTATTGTGATTTTATTAAAATGCTTTATCCCATATGAACTGAACTGTTGAGAAATAAATAGAAAGTCGGAGAAGGAATTAGAATGAAAGATTTTGGATTTCTATTTCTCCATCTTTATACAGAAAAATGTGGAAATCTTCCAAAGTGACACTAATTACCAGTGACAAAGCTCTGAAGAAAACGCTCCTCTCAGAAACAGTACTTTGTTATAGTGTGGAAAAAGTGTTTTCATTAGGTTAATTTTACTTCTGAAGTACCAATTCTACCCATCAAAGTGACAAATCAGTTATTTTCCTTGAAAATTCATCGATATTGATCAATTATTTATGGCACTATGAATAATGTTTGATATGCAAACAAAAAAATCAGTTCTTTCTTCGTGAAAAAATTCCATTACCAGTTATGGGTAGAACAATTCATCGAATAACACTTTTTCTGATAAGTGAAAAAAATTGATATTATTTTCTCAATACCTTTTTCATTAAATTAAATGATATGTTTCAATCGTTTAAAAAAATCTGAAAGATACTGTTTTATGATTCTTTTACCCCATATGAAAAAATATGTTGATATAAACAATTATGTTTAAGTATATTTTTATAATCAATGTATATCATTTCATATGGCTATTAGATATTTGTTGTACTATAGGAGAATTAAGCTTTCAATGACCATGTAAATATTATTGCTAGGACTAATCTTAGTTCTGACAAAAGTGAGACATATCTTTCTATGAATTTTATTTTTTTAAAATCAAATATCACAATAATGTAATGGTATGAAACCAAAATAGGAAGAGAAAGTCAATATCTTGATTGTTACAACCTGTAAGCACTAACGTTTTGGTTACATATAATATCTTTCTATGAATTTTATTTTTTAAAATCAAACATCACAATAATGTAATGGTATGAAACCAAAATAGGAAGAGAAAGTCAATATCTTGATTGTTACAACCTGTAAGCACTAACGTTTTGGTTACATATGATGACAAACAGTGACAAGATTTCATATTCTCAACACAAGCAATTGATCCATCAGAATTCGCATCAATCTCACACGATGATCATCACCACAAATCAGAAGTGTACTAGCGATAACCGGAAAATGTTTTGAGATCTATCATTTATCATTACATACGAGCTGCATAGATTTCTTACGATCCGTATAGAGCGAACAAAGAGCCGAAGCTGTTTTATTGATACAGTTTGTTGCGTAGCCGAAGAAGGTGTTCTCAGTGTTATTTCAGAGTGTCTTTTTAACCAGGAAGCGAGAGCTTCCACTAATCATAGTTTACCTTTCGGTTAGACTCTGAGTGTGCGGCACAGTTGGCGTCGGTTTCGAATTCAGTGTCAAGGACATATATTCTCAAATCTCTCCTGGTGGCAACACTGCTGTGTTGATGGATAACATGGTACACACATACATACATATATAGGGATGAAGGCAATACTATTCAAGCAAAATAAAACCCAAGCTGCTTTTGCAAATGTAAAAATATATTTAAACATAAATAAAGGTTATACAACAGTACATAAAATATGATAAATATTGCATCAAACAACATAAACATGCTTATAATGCAAAAATTAATAAGTTACTAAACAGGACCAAAAAATTTTGGAGAAATTTAAAAAAATTAGGGGTTGCCAATCTATGCTTTCTCTTACCAAAAATAACAAAATCAGTCAAACGAGTCTCAGTCTTAACAAATACCGCAAATAATCTAATTTCAGTCTTTCAAAAACTAAGTCCTGTCTCTCTGTGCAACAATTTGATAATTTTTTCATAAAATACAAAATTAAATGCTTAGCGCATAAATAATAACTAGATACTATGGAAAACAACATATATTATGATATTAAGCCTCCAAAATATGTCATTACAATATTGTAGCACATAAAACCTTTTCCGAGATACCAAAACCGATTGAGAAACTAGAAACCATTTTAAAATATCGCCACCGAATTTGACTAGATTTAAAAAAAATGTATTGCACATTTCCTAAACCGCTTCCGTTTTAGGTGCTACAAAATAGTAGAATTCGATGCTTAAGCACTGAAATAATAAAGATAAATAAAAGATATATTGCTCTACATATGTTCAAAAAAATGTATATATATTATAAAATCCCTTTCACCAATTATTATATAAAAAGGCTTCAAATTTCCTTACACAAACATTATTCGTCCTCATTACTGGCAAATTCGTTACATTTAAAAAAAAACTATAAATTCTTTAGAATCATATTAACAAAACATATCACAGTGCCAAAAAAGAATGCAACGGTCAACAGACAGTAACAAGTTTATTTCGACCTCCCTTAGTATAGGTTAGTTTATATTAGCATCATAAAAATAATGGAGATGACTTCCCCAATATAAAAATTCTTTTTCGAAAATATCCATCAATTTCCAAGTTCAAATTTTCACAGCCAATAGGTTGATTATTTTTCTTATTACTTCATTATACATATTTCTTGGTACGTAGGGAGGAGATGTGAGTTCATATATTTTGTGACAACAATCATATATTACCCTCTGTTGAATGATTATTTTTACGACGAAAAGTCATGAATGAATTTTGACCCATAACCTCATTTTTTTCTCAAAAAAACGAGCAATAAGAAATAAATGGTATCACTTTCGAATGAGGTGAATCATGAAAAATCGCAAAACTTTATAGTATGAAGATAACTAATTTCCATATTTATTGAAATAAGGTCACTGATTGCTATTAAAAGGTTTCATTTCTTGAAACTTTTGTGGGATTCTTGCAAAATACAGATCCAAAACACAAAGAATTATTTCGAACATTACAAAATAGATGTAACTATTTATTTCTGGAAACACAATTGAAATGAAGTTTCGCCATCATTGCCAATTTTTTTTCTCATACATTCCCTTTATGTCTAAGAGTTCTTTGAACCAGCATTTTTTTAGATTACATTGAAATTATGCAGAGAACAAAATTGTGTGAAATATGTTTCTCACAGAAACGTTTTTTTTTTCTGTAAAAAACGATTTCTTTGGGCGATAGAACAACCAATTTATGTTTTGGACTGGTTGTTTACTGTCCAGACTGTGGATAATAGTTACATACTTAATATGGTTTCTAAATCCACAACTGACTTCAGGAAAAATATAAAAAGTCAGTGTTAATTTTTCAATATAAGTATAAAGTGAGCTCCTCCTTTCTTTATAAATTAGTAGGTGCAATACTGCGATTTTTCCAGAACAGGTTAACATATT